ATGCAGTTTCCAAGTATGCATCATTTTAACATTTTACTCATGCCAACTGTTATGAAAATAAGAAAATCAGTTGTGTAAAACATCCACTTATGACACAAGGAGTTTCTATCTGGGGAAATGACTCTAGAAATTTTTAGTAAACTTGAAATGACTGATATATAACTAGAATAATAATCACCTTTTGAAATGAAGTTATAGCTAATAAGCTATCATTGATTCACTCGAAACAAGTTGAAAAATAGAATAAAACATTTGAAATTGAAAGTTGAATATCAATTTCTTAGAAACCTGTGATTACTTTTATTGAGTTTTTGTTTTCCTGGAAAAATAAAACACAGCTTTTGTGAATTCTTAGAACTTGATCAAAGGATGAAGGAGAAGATGTCTAAATATGAGCTTAATTTGATTTCCATAAAAATAACGAAAATTCTAAAATAAATAATTTGCATGTGTACTATTTACTATTGCTGAATCAAAAAATCACCAAAAACATATGGGTTAGAACAATCATTTTTTAATCTCATGGATACCGTGGGTCAGGAATTCAAGGAAGCAGTCAGGAGGCTGTGAAGCTTTTATGAGGCGCAGTCTGATGGGGCTGGGGCTGCAGTCACTGAAGGCTTGACAGGGGCTGGAGACTCCACTGCCAAAGTGGCGCTCTGACTGGCTTGGCAGCTTGGTTTGGTTCTGGCTAGTTCTTTCCTCCCAAGGTAGATCTACACAGGGCTGTCGGAGTGTCCCAGTGTTCTCCAAGAGACTCTGGTGGAAGCTGAAACACTTTTTATGGCAGGAGTCACACCGTCCCCTCTACCACAGTGCACAAAAAGCACCACTCCCTCTCCTGTTTACAGGGCCAGAAGACCTTTGCTTATTTATTCAGCAGCTACGGAGAGTGTGACAAACCATACCTATGAGTGATAAGCGTGGAAAGGAAAAACAAAGAAGGAATAAGGAACAGATGTAAACCTTCAATTCCGTGGTATCAAAGTGTGAAGTAGTACAGAACAGGGGGCTGTGGGGGGACCGAGCAGCCTGGGGGAAGATTTACCCCTTCTTTGGTTGCCAGCACCCTGACCATCGCTACTAAGCAGTGTGCTTAATGGGTAAGCACAGGGTTCAGAAAAGGCTACTGGTTCCTTCCAACATGATGGCCATCCCTGAGGGGCCCCCTTTTGTTTTGCAGTACTGGGGATTGAACCCCAGGCTTTACAACTGACCTACAACCCCAACCCTTTTATTTTTAATTTTGAGATAGGAGCTCACTAAGTTGCCAATTGCCCAGGCTGTCCTTAAACTCAAGCCTCCTGCCTGAGCCTCCCGAGGGGTGGGATTACAGACATATGCCACCACACCCAGCTCCTGAGGCCCTTCTTTATGGAAATGTTGGAGCTGCAGCTAGTCTGCCCACTCTGAACAGTGACCAAGAACTTGAAGGGGCTGCTGGATCCCTCAATAGCACCTACATATGTTGAGGGCTGCCAGGAGCCAAAGCAGGAGGCTGACAGGCTCTTCCTGTGCCGCTGCTTACGCAGATGAGCTTCTTCCAGTACTGTGGGCCCTTTCTTCAGCCCCACAAGGTCAGCCTCCCCATGGTGACACCTCAGCAGGTCAGGGCAGTTGGGCAGGAGGTAGCTGAGTGATGAGGGCATGGGAGACTGAAAGAGCCCCCACGAACACAGGCAAGGGTGGACAAAAACCTTTGTAACCTCCAATCCCAAACAGTGAAAACAACTGAACACTTTTACGTTAGTGCTTGGTACGGAGTGCCAGGGTGCTGTGGCCATGGGAAATGTCGGTTATCAGGCAAGTTATTCAGTGTTGAACTGGAAGGGCACCCTCAAGGCTGTCAGCTTATTAAATTATTCTTGTAAGTCTACCACCTGCCTGTAGAGAAATGTGCTAAACCACTGCACAGTCAAACAAAAGGTAAATCAAGGCAAGCCCAGGAGCAGACTACTGTCCATGCAACCCACTTTAGAGGTGTAAGACCGAGGGCCTTACCAAACTCTCCGAGGAGCTGACTGCAGCAAAGAACACCCGGGAAGGAACACACCGGACAAGTTGGAAAGTAAAACAGACCTTTATTAGTCTGGCCAGACGGCACTCCCAAAGCAAAATAGCTTAGAGAGGCAACTGGCTCAGAGTCCCAGGCTGTTCTTATAGGGGGTTGAGGGGGAAGTTAACATATAGAATTAAAGAAAAGGGACAAAGGTTAGTGGTCGACTGTCACATATTGATGGTCAGCAGACATTTGCAGCTTGTTCTATAGATTGTGGTGTCCGGAACATCAGTTCCGGGCAAACAAGGAGTTGAGTAGTTTACTTTGGGACTTTAGGTCTGTTACAGATTTTATCTAGTGTCCCAAAACTAACAAGCATCTTTATCCATTAACTCACATTTAATCACAGTGGGGCTGGAGAAAAGGAACAAAGCTGATGCAGTCCCACAGAGCAGCACAGGAAGGACCCAGTGGCCATGCTTAACTAGACCTAGGTATCCGGCGTCTCATACACCAGGGAAGGAGGCAGCTGCGGGAATCTAGCATCTGCAAGACAGCACTTCTGAGTGTTGGCCCCATCCTCTCTCCAGTGGAAGAGATTCTTAAGGGTAGGTGACACATGAGACGGTGAGGCCATCAGGCTATGGAGTTCTGGGTTGGAGAAAGCTTGCTACTGTGTCAACTTTGGCTGCCGCACTTAACTTCTCAAAACAGTGCAGCCGAGAGTTATCTTGGCTTGCGTTCCTCAGAGATCTTCAATGAAGAACAGAGTACAGCTCAGGCTCAGGGCAATGTGAGGTAGGAGGCGAAAGTGGCATGGACGTTCAGTTTGTGCATTCCGAATCTGTTACCAGGTCACCATGCAGTCGGCAAACATGAATCAGTCATTATCCTTACCTTCCTGGGTAAGGATACACAGAGGGTGATGCCAGCCACCAGTACCACTGACACAGCTCTTAATGCCAGGATGGATTTGGAGTTGAACATGAATTCCAGCAAATGTCTGAACCCCCAAAAAAGGAAGAGTAACATTGGTTGAACAGCATGGAGACGTGAAGGATGAAGGCTGGCTATTCAATATCCCATTGCTCCAGGGAAGTGGTCTGCGGGTTCTTGAAACTACACCACAGCCTCTGTGCTGCACATCTTGTGATTCCACAGCTTATCCTGTACTCTGTCTGCTGTGTCAGTGCCTTCATTCTCTCGGTGAAGCAGAGATCACTGTCCTGACCAAGGCTTGGTGGCCTGGTGGCCGGGACAAGGTAGTGACTGGGAGGCCTGGTGTCCCTGCTTGGGCACTGCAGGCAGATCCTCACGGTGTGGCCGTCTTCACTGTCTGTGGCTCCTGCTGCCCCTTCAGCACTCTCTGGGCTTCTGGGCCCTTGCTGATGGAGCTCTCATTATTCTACTGCTCCAGCCTCCATGGGGCCTGGAACACCTTAGCTTCCTGCTGTTCATTAAGAAGCGTCACGAGGTAGCACATCCTGGAGATGAGCTTGGCATAGGTCAAGGAGCTTAGGGCTCAGAGCAGTCCATTTTCCAAGTACTAATAACAGGGGAAATGAGCCTTCTCACCCCGTCCTTGGGAAGGAGTCCCCAGAGCCACTGGTTCAGCTGAGTTTCTAACCGATCACCTTTGGGTGGTCAGTCAGTGTCCACAGCAGAGTTCTGCAGTGGAAACATGCAAGTCTCTTGGCTGACATGAAGCATCACGAAGGGGAGTCAATGAGGCTCCTCGGTGATGAGAATGGAGGTCTCGGACTGCTGCTTGCATTTCATTTCTCTTCATGAGCTGGGCACTCAGGTTGACCTGGGTTTTTCCATGAGCCATTGGATAAAGAGTTGTAGCCAAGTGGTGACTTTTGGGAATGCAAGGTAGGTGTAGTTGCTTTCATTCTTTGAACTTCATCCCATGCATGCTTTTAAAAAAAAGCCATATGTAGTGGACTTTGCTCTGTTTCTACCACAGATGGGAATTTGGCAAGGGTGGAGGTGGGGAGGAAGAAGTGGCAGGCCTCTGTCCCTCTGTATGGACAGTTTCTAGCCAGGTGCCTGGGTCTGGACACCGCCATGACGCTGGAGAACCCAAGGCTTCTTCGGAGAGGGGTCAGGTGCCCTGCCTCTCCCTGACCCACTGCTTTGGCATGTCCTTGAGCAGCCCTTTCTGTATACCCTTCGGAGCATTGAGGACCCTGTCCAGTGTCTGCAGCATTCTCCTTTCACTCTGATCCTCAGCCACATTGTCTTCTTGTGTTTGAGCCCTTGCCAGTTCTCCTGTTGCCTGAGGTTCCAATTCTAAACTGCTGGACTACTAAGTACATTTTTTCTTCCTTAACTTCAATTCTCTTCTGTATTTCTGTATCCAACCAATTTCAGAGGAAATACAGCATTTTCAATTTATCTTTATAAATCGAATTGCTGGATTCAGCTATAAAGAATGTCTGTACAGCCTTTTTTAAAGAAGCTGGGAGTATCTCCATCTTGTGCATTTAGTGTCAGGGAGGACTGCAGGAAGACTGCAAATTGGAGCCTAGCCTGGACCCCTTATTCATAGCTGCTAAGGGGAATCCTTTCTGAGTACCAGGGCCTGTGAATCCTGTGGAGTCCAGGCTGGTCAGAAGGACAGGCTGTGCCCCTGATCCCCTGTGGCACTCACCTCTCCTCTCCTCTGACTCTCCCGGGGTTCTGTTCCTGGCCTGGCTGTTGCCTCACACACACACTGACAGCACTTTCCTGAGTATTCAAGCTGCCCTTTGCATTGCTCCACAGTCCATGCTCTGGGGGCTGTTTTCCCTTCTCCCCCTGAGCTTTGTGGATGGGGCCACTGTGATTTTCCTGGACTCTTCACTTCCTTTCCATAGTTGGGAGGACACTGGTCTCTGCCTGTTTCCCCTCCCTAAGCCATGCTGGAAAACCTCTGAAAGCAAGAAGCTCAGCAGTCTTAGGGCTCACTTCCTGCATTTCTCGGTTCTTGGTCATCACTCTCAGTGACTGACAGCCAATTACATATTTTCTGGGGTTGTCTGTTCGTTTGCAGGTGGGAAGTTAAATTTATCTCTTCATTCTGCTCTGGCCAGAAGCCAGTAATATTGTTAATATCTATTTTGTTTAGATTTGGGATCAAAGTTAAGGCGTTGCATATCATGTTTTTGGTTCTTTTATTGTAAAACATTTTGCTACATTATTCTGTCTTTCATGACATTAGCACTTCTGAGAAGTCTGAGACTCTTGTCCTGTAAGCTGTCTTGTTTCCTCCTGAGTCAATGTGAGTTAAGCATTTTGGGGGAGAACACTGCACAAGTGATCCATCCTTCCTTCCTTCATGACTTCAGCTGGCCCATGATGGTAAGTTTGCTCACTTGATTAGGGAGGGTGCTGTCTTCCAGAGCTCCTCATAGTAAAGTGATTTTTCTCTTTAATAATTGATAACCTGTGGGGTAATAATTTGAAATCAGTGAAGATCCTACTTAAGTATTTTTTTTTTTTATCTAACTGCACATCAGCCATAGGCCAGGTCTGAATCCAGTACTACACTGGTGATTGTAAGATGACAATTTCCAACTCTAGCATTCCTTCTTCGCTTCTTAGCTGCCAAAAGCAGTTCCCCCTTTTCTTTTTGAGGATCATTATGAATTCATAGGTTCTTCTTCACATTCCCCCCTACACACACCTTCTGTCTCTCCTTTCTTCCTTCTGGGGAAGAAACCTTGACCCTCAAGCATGTCACGAAAGCTCTCTACCCCTGAGCTATACCGCAGCCCTTCTTATGTGTTTGAATGCTCAGTGTCCCGATTTGGACAATGAAATCTGTTTTCATTGAACAACTCAATGTGGGTAAAGATAAGATGTTTTTAGGCCCAGAGGAAGGCCTAACATTTCCCACTCTTAGCAGCAATGGGGACAGGGCCTTACTGAGAGTGCACAGAAGTCTGTCTTCTCCCTGTGCACACCCATCAGGAGCCAGACTTTCGAGTGCGGGAGATGCTGTTGGAGGAAGCGACAGATTGTCCCCAGTGCCCATTTCTGACCTTTACTGTAGGCCTGCCCCACACACCGCCTAGCTTACCCTTCCGTGGGGCGCCTCCGGCCTCCTCCCGAGGTATCTGCAGTGTTCAGGAACCGCGCTTTGCCGCTGGGTGCCCACCCAGCCACCAGTCCGCGCCACAGAGCTCCTCTCAGCACAGCGCTGGGGGCCTCGGTCTGTGTCTGCTTCCACTGCAGGAGCCCTTCTGCTAACGCACTGCACTTTGCCCTGCCCACAGGATCGGCCCTGGGTCACCGCAGAGCCTCCTCCGGAGGTGGTGCCTAGCTCCCTCACAGGCTTACCAGTCGCGATTTTAACGGCAAAAACCGACCGTCATCATGCGCCACGGCGCCTGCGCGGCTAACGTTTCCCTCAGCACTGAGGCTGCGCAACTGACTCAAAAAGTACTGCGCCTGCGCGAGACAGCCCAGGGCCCAGCTACTCCGCCCCTTCAGACGTGGTTTTAGGGTAGAATCTGAAGGTTGGGCTTGCAGGATGGAGGGTACACACATCTGAACAGCAGCTGGCTTCTTCCTTCAGAGGAGAGGGGGCACACAGTGGGCAGACCCTGCCCAGGGAGGATGTGGGAGATGATCTCTAAACATGTGCTCCTTGGTTACGTGCTTCCAGAGATTCAGATACGCTCTTCAGAGTGGGGGTGAGCGCCTCCCGTAAAGCCCTCTTTCCCGCCCGAGCTGTGCAGCCCCACGTGACCCCGAGCAGCTGCCACGTGAGCACAGCCTGGACCGGAAGATTGCGGCTGCCTGTGCGCGTGCGAAAGCTGAGCCTGACCAACCCCAGGTGCAGCAGGTGCACGAGGTCGGGGTCGGGGTCGGGGTCGGGTGCTGCTCTGCGAGGTTCCTGAGGCCAACTCCTGTGATGCCCGTTGCCCTGCTGCAAGTACAGGCCGGGGCCTGCCAGAGGCTTATGTCACCTGTGCGCGTGGTGACATCGAGGGCGGGACCCACGTGAGCAACCTCAGCAACCTGCAGGCAGGTGTGTGGCTCTGAGCTGTCGTGGAAGAGGATGGGGAGGCGAGGGGGGACTGGCGGACTCTACCTTCCTGCTTCTGAGCTGAAGAGGAGGCCGAGGTCGCACCTTGGGCTGTGTGTGCACCTGTGTGCCAGAGTGTGAGTCTGTGAGACCCCTTCCGTAGGTCTTCAAGATCCTGGGCGCTGAGAAGGGGAAGCAGAAGACCAACTTGTTCTTTTTGACCGGGCACCTTGTGCTGCCCTGGGTGGAGTGGAGTCAGGGATTGAAAAGGCTCTGACCACCTACGCAAGTACTGTACCTCCCATCCCGGTCCCTGTTGGTGGCCCTGTCTGTTCTCCAGGGCCTGGACTTCCTTAGCTCTGCCCCTTGCTAACATTTGGTTACCATAAAACGAAATTTTAATTTTTAGGTAACTTACAAAAAAATTAAAACTATTTAAACGAAAGGAGTTATTTTGTGCAGTCTCACAAAATTAAATATGTGCGACAGTTTTACAGATTTATTGCAACACTCAATTCCAGTATTTCAATATACTTAAGGCTCTGAATCATTTTTCTGTTGCTACTTAGCTAAGTGACTTGAACTGCTTGCTATATGGTCTTCAAAAGAAAATTACTGTGTAGCCAGCAGTCTCAGATTTTGGGTTGACCTAGCCAGGACTTGGAGTGAGAACGGGTGTCTCATTTTCAGTTCTAATTTGTCTACAGATATACTTACACAGCTCAAGGAGGGACAGAGAGCCAAAGCTCAGTGACTAACGCAAGTCTATCAAGTTGACTTTGTAGTCAAGTCCACGATGGTCAAAGGCCTCACTGCCAGTGCACACACGTTGGCTGCCAGAACTGTGAACAGGTGATGGACTAGTAAGTTAACTGTCCCATGAGATTTTGGTACTTTGGTTACTGTGCATTAAAGTCAGAAATGTAAGATACAATTCCAAAGTTGCTCCTCTGGTTATGACTGTGAATCTTGTTTCTTTGACATTAAATTTTCCGTATTAAAAGATTATTTTATGACAATGATCTAGTCTTCCCAAATCAATTAATGACACATTTCTACTTCCGATCACAATGGGGTAGTAGTAGCCCTCCTGGCATAAACAACTAGAGCACATGAAGAACATGAAATAATATTTTCTAGAAAGTGGACAACCCAGTGTGCAGGATCCCATAGAGAAGGGGAATAAAGTATTGCGCCCAGCTCATTGCTGGGAAGCACTGTCCAAGCCACAGCAAAGGAAGAGAAATCAGGGAAAAATACTGGAGAGGAGTGAGCTACAGGGAGTGGGAAAGAGACAAAGAGAGACAGAGGTTGCCAGAGCAGAGCCTTCAAATCTCTGGCTGACTGTAAATCTGTATATGAAAAGCAGTTATCCAAGTCCAGGAAAAGAAGTAGAATGCAGAACAGTTCTCAGAGCTCATCCAGGGCTGGAAAGAGTTTTGTGTCCCACCATCCAGAGCAGAAAGAAAGTGTAATACATGAGGCACTGGGTAAAACTCTGAGAAGAAAATTACTTTAATAGAGGGCTGCAATCATAGTTCTAGGCCTTGGCTTAGGCTAAAAATGCACAGGGGCATCCCTAACCCAGCTTAAAAGCAAGACTCAAACATGCTGATTTCAAATGATTTAATTAAGTGATAGAACAAAATTCAACACTGGCAAAGAATACAAAAAAAGTCTAGCATTCAAGAACAAAAAGTTCACTATGTCCTGTGTCCAACAAAAGTTAACATCCAAACACAAATGAGAAAAATTACTCAATAGGAACTGAACCCAAGATCATAGAGGTGATAAAACTAGCAGAAGAGGATAACAAATAGTTACTATAAAATCCCACAGATGTTCAAGGAGATATAGGTAAACATGAGCATGTTGCAGTAAGAAAGAATGGACGCAAAGACCCAAATAGAATTGCTAGAGATGAAAAGGGATCTGAAATGCAGAATGGACGAAGTGAGATTAACAGCAGATTAGATACCATAAGATACCATACAAGAAGAGATTGTTATGTCTGGTGGGTCTGGGGCCTGGGGGTCCCCAGACTCACCTAGCCAAGTTTCTCTCTCTCCAACATATAAAGAGGAAGAGGAGCCAGAGAAGACCAGTGCAAAGCAAAAACTTTATTGTAGGTACTGGAAAAAGAATTGGTACAAAGCCTGTCCAGAGGAGTGGGAGCACCCAGAGCTGGGTCACTGCTGTATCTAGGGATGTGATCCTGTTTTATGGGGAAGGGCCCTGTCTCTACCTCTCCAAGGGTCCACACTTGATTGGTTGGATATTGGGCTTGTTGCTAGGGGTTTGGTCTTGTGGGCTAATAGGGGGATATGGGGAGGCATGGCAACCTGCACCAGGAGGGACAGTGGTGCCTGCATGGAGGCAGGTGTCAAAGCCACAACCTGTCATTTTCAAAATACAACACTGCTTGCTACTCATAGCCACACACAGCCTGCTTTTTTACCCTCTAAAGAGAGCTGGAGTCTTTTAAACTCTCCTCAGGGGTCCCTTCTGTCCCTACAAGATCCATAGACATGACTACAACACAATAGAAACTACTCAAAATGAAATTGAAAAAGAATGATAGGGACCCAGAGAACCAATGCTGTTAAGACAATATGGAGTGATGTAATCTACACATGTGGAATCCTAGGAGAGAAAGGCAGGGGAAAGGAAAAAATACTGAAAGAGATAATGGATGCATTTCTCATGTTTTATGAATTTAACAAAAATTAGAAGCCCTCAGATACAAGAAGCCCAAGCAAATAAACTCTTAACAGCATAACAAGGCATAGTCTAACCAAACATCTGAAACATGACCACAAAGAAAAAAATACTAAAACCCATCCCAAGGAAAAACATTTTAAACAGAGAAAAAGATAAGAATGACAAGACTTTTCATCAAAAGTTATTCTTGTTAGAATACAGTGAAACAACATTTTGAAAGTCTTGAATGAAAAAAACTATCAAAAAGTCTTAAGTCAGTAAAAATTTTTTAATTAGAAATCCTCAAGGAATCATTAAAAAATAAAATGAAAAGGAACAACTATCATAAAAAGTAATCCATAAGAAGTTAGGGAAAGAAAAAATGATGAAAGAAGTAGGAAACAAATATAAAATGAATAGCAAGGTGGTAGATTTAAACTCAACGCTATTAATAATTACACTAAATGTAGGTGGTCTTACTGTGATCAGCCTCCCTGTGATGGTCTTCTCATGTGTCCACTAACCTGGGCTGCAGTTTGCCATGCCTCAGTGCTGCTGTGAGTTAAAGTAAATGAGATTCTCCAAGGTAATCTGGTGGGCCTCACTCAATCAGTTGAAGGTTCTGAAGAGCAAGGCTGATGCTTAGCTGATGAAGTCCTGCCTGTGGAACGAAGTGTCAGGCATGTCTGAGAACTCCAGTTTACCCTCCTGGGAACAGCCCTATGATTTCAGGCTTTCCTAGCCAGTTCCCACATCGCATAGATAATTCCTAATGATCCATCTCTTGAAACATATCTCTAGTGGGTTCTGCTTCTGTGTTTGAACCCTGACTTACTTGTCCACCAATTAAAGGCAGAATTGTTTTGAATAGTAAAAAAAAAAAATAAGCCTCAACTGTATGTTCCTTATAAAAACCCATTTTAAATAAAAAGACATAGGTTAAAAGTAGAAATATATATATATATATATATATTTCACACACAACACATATATAATGCAAACACTGATTAAAAGAAAGCTGGAGTGGTTACATTTATAACAGAGAAAATAATTTTAGACCAATATTAAAAGCAATAAACCAGGTAAATTTTATAATGATAAATGAGTTAATTTGTCAAGAAGATATAATAATCTGTACCTGTATGTGTCTAACAACAAAACTTCAAATTATATAAAGCAAAACTGATAGAAATAAAAAGAAATTGGCAAATCCACAATTATAGTCGTATTTCCAATTCTTTTAGAAAAATATGGAGCAAGTAGATAAAAATCAATGAAGATATAGAAAGCTTGAACAAAAGACCAAGAGGGAAATTAAAATGCCCTTTATGATCTAGTCTCAGAAGCCATACAGTGCCCCTTCTGCCCAGTTCCATGGAGTCACAGAGCCAGTCCTGATTTAGGGCAGAAGCTGCGACTCACAGGCATGAATGCCAGAAGATGTGACTCAGAGGTGACCACCTGAGGGCTGCTATTGCAGAATAATAGGAGTGGAAATGTCATGGAAAAGGATATCATTACCTAAGATTATAAAGTACTGTAAAGTAATATACGTTTTAGTGCAAGGGAAGAAAAACAGCCAATCTAATAGCGAATATTTTCCATTGGTTCTTTGGACTAAGAATCTATTTGTCTTACTTATTACTAAGACCCATTATTTCTTTGCATAAATTATTTATATGGAAAAATTCAAATATACAAAAATCTTGAATGAATGGTAAGATAAACATTCATGTACCATTACTTAGTGTTATGGCTTGTATGTAGATGGCCCCCCAAAGCCTTATGTGCTAAGGGGTGGTGAGGTTCAAGGTGGGTGGATTAGGGTTGTGAATGTGGAGGAAGAGTATGATACTTGGGTTAAGGGTGTGATACTGAGATTAAAGGTGTGGATAATGGAAGCCCCACCTTGGGTATGGGTGGTACCAATCAATAGGCTTATAGCTTGTATGGAATATTAAGAGAACGGGAAGACATGCTGCTGCTGCTGCTGCTTGCTGCTTTTCGGTCCCCTGCCTGTCCTGCCACGGACTGTTTCTCCTCTGTGATGTCCCTCTGCCATGCCACCCTGCCTTGGAGCCAGCTGACTGTGGACTGAAACGTCTACAAACCCTGAGCTGAAATAAACCTCTCCTCCTTTAACTTTGAGTGTCAGGTATTTTGTCTCAGCAACGGGAAAAGTAACTAAGATGCTTAGGTTCAATAATTGTTAATGACTAATTTATTTCTTTCAATACTATATATACTTGTATTTGTATATGTATATAAATATGTATCTATACATGCAACATGTTACATGTTCATTAGTTGGGGTGAATCAGCCACAGAAACAGAGGTTACATGTCTGTATCTTCCTGTCTGATGCTAGAGTTTGAAATCCACAAGCCAAGGACTGGGAGGGGAAGATCAGGTCAAGGGCAGGTTGGAAACCACTAGTATGAGTTAGAAAGTGTAATGAAGGTGTGGAGAGCAGAGAGATTGCCTGGGTAGGCTTTGTGTAAGCAACAAGGCTGTTTATTCCACTCAAGTGCAAGAGGGCTAATTTCAAAAAGAGAGTCAGCTAAGAGCAAGGGGAGAGCAAAGATTTTTAAGGGAAAGGTGATTGCTAGGCATTGGCCCAAGGATCTGCTGCCTTGAGGAGTCTGGGTGCAGAGACAGTGTGGCCACAGGCAGTGGTGCCAGTGCCAGTGTACTTAGATTTTCCTGGAGGGTGGTATAGCTGTACTCGGACTTCCTGGAACTGAGGGGTTGGGGCACGGTGCTCTGCAATGGTCCTTCCTGCCAGCAGCAAAGGTCCTTCCTGCAGTGGCTCTCCTCACCAGATGTTACATCTAGGATGGAGAAGTGGCTGGTCTTCAGAGAGGAGGGGAGCCTGTGACTGACAGACCCATACCATTCTGGTTGCCTCTAGCTTTGATGACGTGGGGGTCCTGCAGAACTCAGGGGCCTTTCCTTGCGGAGCTAGTCCAGCAACTGGCTGGATGGAACCCTGGGGAGGGGACACAGTTGCAGGCCAGCTTCTTGCCCACACCAATGAGGTGAGAGGTGATCCAGCCATTCAGTGATAATGCCCAAGAGCTACACATGGCTGGCATGTCCCTTCTGTCCTGGCACTCATTGAAGAATGTGCCTTGTGGCTTAGAAACCCACAGGAGAGGGAATGTGGGGAAACATAGCTCAGTCTGGAGAAGTGAACTCATTCTAAAGCTACCATTTCAAAGTAAGTTTTAGAAACTTTGTCACTGCACCCCTAAGTACTTGAGCCTTCATCTCAAAGGCCCATTTTTAAATGGCAGAGGAAGGTATAGCAGTGAATTCTTGTGTAGTGTGGATGTAAGGATTTGGAATTTTACTCTCATTTTAATACATTATCTTCATTAAAATTTTTTTTAAATTCATCTGGCTTGGTCTGGATTTGACTTTTGCTTTCCTCTGTCAAATATAGAATTATATCATCCAAAGGATTTTGACAAATATTAAACTCCACTTTTTTCTTCTTTTTCAGGAGAAACCAGCAAGCAAAAAATTTGTAGTGAGGAACGAGATTTCCAACAAACAGCTTGGGCTTCAAAATGAGTCTTCTGACAATTTTTTTTTCTCTCATTCTCAAGCTGTTATGACTAAATTTTCATCCCAGAGAAAGAAAGCATTCCAGATCTTTCTTGAAGATCTGTATTAGAGCTCTTATGAAATATCACTCCCTCCTGTTTTTTTTTTTCTCCTCTTGGCACTCCTTGAATAGCTATTGCTGGAGGAAAGATGAAAATTATTTAAAAATTTATGTATTATTTCTCATTAGAGTCAGAATATCCCTGTAGCTGCTGACACTTGAGCTGAATTAGGAGCAACAGATGAGGAATTTGTAACCAAGCAAACCTCCATAGCAACAGGTAATTAAAGTCAATTATGATTCTAAGACATTTATTCAGAATGTTTTTAATCCTTAAGAAAAATCCAACATGAAAAAACACATCCCAGAATTTCAAGGCATGTAAGTTGGCAACAAGTAACAACCATTCATGTTAGATTCAGTCATTCAAAAAGTGGGTGCATAATTTAAGCTTGAGAAAGACCTTTGCTTTCAGAATTCTCTAAAAGTCAGCTCCTCAGAGAACCCTAGGTTGAGTGTCCCATGAAATCTGGCTGCTGTCCTAAATGGATTCTCCTATAATGGCAACTATATTCCTGGTGGCTTGGTTTCCAGACTAGTCCACAAAAGCTTATTTAAGCTACACACATTAAATTATAGCTCTCATGATACTTTTTCAGCTACATTTAGCTGCATTGTTCCAGGGAAAATGCCTTGTGAATCTCATGTTGAAATAACAACCATATCTCTCCCCTGAACCCTGAAGCCAGGACAGGCAACTGCAGTGAACTTATATTTCACTAACTAAAGTAGAACTCTGGGTAAGCAGTTATCAAAGCATACTTGAGGCTCTAGGAGTTTTCAGTTCATATAAGTTGATTAATTCTATAGAAGTCCTACAGGAAAGGCAACTGCTGGACTTTTCTTTAATCCAGTATTTCCCAAAGATATTTGACTAAGGAATATTTTTATCTATGGATAGTCTATTTAAAAAAAACAACCTGGACCAGTTGAAGTTGCAAGGGGTTAGTGTTCTGCAGAATGCACTCAAACACTGCCCTGTTATAGTCACTTCCTAGAGTGAACTAAATCATCGGTTCTCAAACTTCACTGCCCATCAGAGTCATCTGAAATGTTTTCAACACCTAGCTGATGCCTTAGTACCCAGCCCCCAGGTTCTGATTTCCCTGGCACGGATGTGGCCTTTGCATCAGGGCATTCTTACGGGCAGCACATCTACATTGTGCCAGAGGCTGGAGCTGTCTTTGTAACATCAGAGTTGGGTGCCCAGCATTTGATGTCTAAGAGCTATGAACCAGGATTTGGGCAGGACCAAGCCTGGGGAGACTGGTGAGCCCCGTGATGGGACAAGGGGAGGCTCACATGATCAAAAGCGACAGGCTGACGATGGAACTGACTGGATGTGTGTAACCATCCTCAGAGCCCCGCCCCCCACCTCAGTATGCACACCAGCAGAACAAAGTGTCCTGGGAGAAAGGTCACTGGAACCTTAGCCAGGGAAAAATGCCAGGCCTACACTACTAATGCCAGCACAGAACAGAGAATAATGTTTCCTTTGCTTTTCCCCTTTAACTTTTTTTTCCATGGTTGTGTGAGAGCATAGCTTCTCTACACCCACACTGGTTGTGGTTGAAAGAACACAAAACTGTATACATCATCTTTTGTTCTGTTCATAGAACAATAACTCTGAAAATGTTAGTCCACTTTGCTCATGTTATTTTTAAACATTATTTTGGTATTTTGGTAGGGGCAAATAGATAATAAATGTATGTGGCATGAAATTCAAAATGTAGCAAGTCCTATATAATCAAAAATGTCTGCCTCCTCTATTCCCTTCAGCTGCACAGTTCCTCATTTGTCTGCTGAGTTTTGTTTGTTAGTGTAATTTCTACACACCCATCACCAAACTGTTTTGGTCTCAACCCTACCCTGTAATGTATTCATGCTCATCGGTGGTCTTTTTGCTGTACTTTTTTTCATTGACCTTTCAGCTGGTCGAATAGCATCCTCTAGTAGTTTTTTCAAAAAGCATTCCTAAGAACTAGACTTCCTAGGCTCTTGCAGGTCCAAAGATGCTTTCTGCTGCCTCAGTGTGTGGTTCAGGGGCAGTAGCAACCTTATATCCACATGTTTTCTTTAGGACCTCATAGACCCTTTTCTCCTGACCTCAGGGGTTGGCAGAGGTCTTGTAGCACTCAGAGCCAGGTTGAGGAAGAGGTAACGGGATCTCTGGAGCTGCTGTCCAAAGGGTTTTTTCTTTCTCCTGGAAGTTCAGCCATCTTGCTCAGCTGAGTCCCCCAGGGACAGCTCTGCTTTGATATTTTCTATGAGGGTGTAGGATGTTATCTTTCAAACCGAAGAGTCAAGCCTTCATTTCTGGGCATTATAATTGAATACATCTTTGTCTCCTACTTTTTTGTGGGAATGTTAGATTTTTTAAACAAAATCGTCAGATAAAACCGTATATCTACCGCATACTATTTTCAAGTATACTCGCATATGTTGTGGACTAACTAAATCTAGCTACTTGCAAGTGCATGACCTCACAGGATTGTACATTTTCCCTTTAGCATATTTCAATAATATTATGCACTGTTAACTTTAGTCATCATGTTGTCCAGCAGATCTCTTGAACTGAGTCCTTCTGTCTGAACAAAATGTTGTTTCTTTGACCAACATCTCCCCAACCTCCTGCCAACCATCTTTGAGTATAGTTCTTCTATTATTTTGTTATCTTCTTTGAAGACATCAATTATGTATGTGCTTTATCTCATTTATCTGTCTTGCTAATTTCTCACTTTCTCTCTAATTCTTTCATAATTCTTGCTCCATACTAAATTCACTTTTTCTGTCTTTCCCAATCCTGCCATCCATAAATTAGTAATACATTTCCACAGCAACTCTGCCCTTTTGCACTGCCTCCAGTTTGGCTTTCTTTCCTATAATTGCTTTATTTCCTATCCACTCCATTCCAGAACTCTCTTAGCTTATGCTTTATATCGTTCTATTATATGACCATGTCATCATCCCTGAGCCCTTATCAGTGAGCTCAGGTTTTATAAAGAACTCACATTTTTTCTACAGGACATCGTTCCTTCATTAAGATATTTTTAAATTTTAGCAATAGGTTTGTTCATAATGTTCATCTGATCTATAGCAATGTTTTTATGAGGCTTGCTTATTTCCTATTCTTACTTTACTTTTCATATATTTCTTTTGAATAGATCTCTCTCTCTCTCTCTCTCTCTCTCTCCCCATTACCAACTCCCTATCCACACACCACAAAGGCTCTTGCTCCTGCTGCCCTGGACAAAACCACTCACAGAGTCTCTGCTACAATTTGGTAGGCAAGTAGGAAGGCAATTTTGAACTCAGGATCAAACTATGATTTCTAATCCATTAATCACAGTACAGGAGTTTTTAATCAGAATTAACACTTACGTTTCTAAATCAGACTAGTCAGAACTCTGAGGACAGGTATTTGATGATTTACCCCTTTAAACTGCAACAAAAATTGTTGCCCTGTTATCTACCATATCTCTATTTTATAGCACTTAATAGATGCTCAACACATAATTAAAGCAGGGGAGCTATCTCTGCCTCTGTCTATAGCTCTGTCTCTATATCTATGTTCACCTGGAAGAGTAACAGTCTACAAACTCACACACACACCACCGTGTCAGGCCACAGTAGGTCTCTGCTGTCTGTTGTGTGATTCTTATTTTGCACTCACCTACGATCCCAAGGTCTCACCACACATTCTCTAAAATATCACAAGAAGGAAATGACCAGAAAGTTTAATTTTTCTAATCTAGCCTATTTTGACAGAGGGTAGCTTCACATTTCCAAGAAAGAACCAAACCTACAGTCTTGGTGAGGGTAACTGTTCACCTACAAGAAGGATGCTGCTTATCTTCCTCTAAAGCCTTCAGCTGGATAGCTCGTTAGACTGAGATAAGTCCTCTGCTCTCAGCGCCCACAGGTATCAGAGAGTGCCTTGGTGTCTCAGACCTCCACTCAGGGGCCCCTTCTGTCACCAGCCTACAGCTGGACCAGGCATAACCACCGGTTCATGGTAGATCCTGCCACATCCGAGCCTTTGGATGAAACACCAGCCCTGGCCCACACTCCGTTACATCCATGAGAGATCTTGAAGATGAAGATTCCACTAAGTTATGCTCAGGTTCCTGACCCATAGAAACCCTGAGCTATGGAGGTGCTGTTTTAAGCTGCTAACTTTGTGGTAGCTTGTTACACAGCATTAGATAACTGATTCAGCACCATTTGGGAAACCTCTTCTTGCAGACTTCTTCCTCACTGTATTCATTTCCTAGCATTTCTAAAACAAAGAACCACAAACCAGACAACTTAAAACAAATGTACGAAATGCATTGTCTCAGAGACCTGCGGGCTAGGAGTCCAAAATCACTGTGTCAGCAGGGGGCGCTCACCTGAAACCTGTTGGGAAAAACTTTCCTGTCTTCTTACCTTCGGTGGTTGATTCAGTCCTGGCTGCTCCTTGGAGAAGAACATTGTCACTCCAGTGTGTCTTGTCGTCACAGAGTTTCTTCTGTGTGTCTCTCTTCACAGGTCACCTTCTTGTAAGGACACTGGCCACATAAGATTTGGAGCCCACTCTGCTCCAAAATGGCCTCATCTCCATTTAATGGCATCATCAGTAACTATTTGAGAACAACACTGCATTCAGAGGTAACAGATTAGAGCCTCACATGTCTTTTCAGAAGGCAGGGAGAGGAGGAAGGGGTGGAAAATGTAACCCATAACATGCCGAGGATGCTTTTCATTCTCATGCTACCATATTCCGACTTCAGTTTTGGCTCTTTTGTTAATCTTTTCATGGGGAGTAAAGCTTTGTGTTCTTCTCGACCCACATGTTACTGATTAAACAGAAAGTGAAAAGTGAGAAGGAACAGGGATCCCATTCCCTATAATACTTAGCAGCCACTCTCAAAACCCAGTGACGCACAACTGCAGAATAAATGCTTCAGCCACATGACCTCCATAATATTTCTGGTTGACGTGCTTATTGCTCAGTGGGGAAAAGTGGCAGAACATGAAAAGATGGCATTCTGTTTTTACCACCAACCCGAGTAACCAAAGAACTGGGAAGTTTATGAGTGGAGAAGATGACAAATAATTTAAGAAGAAATAAAATGTTTTATAGTTTTCAGACGAGTGTTTGAATAATGGTAATGAGACCTTACATTTAGTTAGCACTCCACAATTTACATTTGTATTTCCTTCCTAG